AGCAACGATGTCATTTGGAGCTCAATCGATTAACCACAATTATTCTAATTAAGGTCTATTATAGGTCAAGTGGGAGATGACAAGTTCATCTGTCACATTACACAAAATGTGCTGAGCTGATTAAGGATTCACTCTTGGGATTTTTACCCTGGTGCATTAGTTAGGTCTCATCAATCCCAGTGAAGAGATTCTCCATACTTCACTCTCTGTGTTATGGATTGGAAGACACTTGCCTAGAAGGGTCCAGCAGCAGCTACATATAGGGGGTTGAATATGTTGGTGCGAAATTTCTGCTAGATGCAGACTTGTGTGAGCTTGTCAGATTGTAAGGACTTTGTTTAGCTTATTGAGTTTGATCACTATTCTAGAAAAGATATGAATCCATATATGGTGATGTATAGGCTAAGGAACCAGCATGCAGCATCCCCATTGCCTGCTACTTTGAAACACTAATCAAGAATTATCTTTCACCTAGCATTAGCCTCTTAATTCTAGTTTCTTTTAGAGAATCATTTTGTCACCATGAGAATATTTTGAGGACTTCATTTGCCATGTTACAGAGTATATGCTCCATAGATGCCCTTGTAAATTTTCAATTGATTTTGGTTTCTAGAAAAGCAGAGCTTCTCCTAAACAAATAGGTCTTTTAAAATCCTCTAAGCATTGGATAAAGAAATGAATTAGTTTCTTTTTGGTTAGAGATTTATTTGGAGACAACCTACAAGTCTACAGAGTTTTCTGTGTGTGGTTTTAAATTAGTTTATTTCTCTGGCCATTGTGAATCATTTCCTTTGTTATTCATTTTCTTTCTCCATCCACCTCTCACTAATGTTGTTTTGACTTTTATGTATCCAAATAGTTCACCTTAAATCCTTTTAGCAGCAAGACTGGAAGATACACACACACACACACACACACACACACACACACTCCTTCCTATATAGACTATTCTGAATAGTGACTAAAGAAGAACAGCTTAATTGTAGTCTTTAGGCTTCTAATGAGTTTCTAGCTAAATATTTGAGATGACAGCATAGTCCTTTCCTTTGCAAACAGCTAGTCTGATAATTATTTTCGAGTCTATGAAGATATGAATCCTAATACAAACCCAACAAGTACATGGCTAAGTGTTGGGCATCCTCTAGTTCGGGTTTACCAGAGAGTGATGCTTCCTGCATTATTAGGGCTATTAATCAGTGACCTTCTCTGGTTGGCCAAAATCACTCCTAAAGACATTGGCTAGCCAATTTTAATATAAATAAATAAATAAAGTCCTTTACTGTAAACTGAACTTTTTTCTCTCTCTTCTGTGTCCTTCCTTTGGCAGACAGAGGTAACATTACGATTTAGGAAAAGTCAGTGGGTGGGAACTTTTTGTTTTCATTGATGAATTTTTGTGAGCATCTCTCTCTCCCCTCAGCCTTAGAATCTTTCCCTGGAGTTTCTATTTTATGGTCCTAATATTACTTCTTTGTTTTTGTAAATATTTCACTTCCACTTTAATTCTGGATAAGAATGGGGGATTTGACTACAAGAACAAGTATTCCCTGTGACCCTGGACAGTATGCTGCAGTCGCAGCTCCGCAGTGGTTAAGAAACTAGRAGACAGTGTTTAGCAGTCCTTTGCTTCCTCTTTAGCAAACTTATAGGTGGGGCAGTTAGCAAATGGATTCGAAGTTTGGGCCCTGAAATGATAATAAATTCCTTTGGTTTCCAAAATTTACAGGGGTGGTAGCTTTGTGAAAACAATCCTTCCTTTGGTTACTTAGCTGCTGTCATTAAGGCATTTAAATCAACAATGAAATTAAGAGCAGATGTACTACATAGGCTGGACCTCTTTATTAGCTACTAATGCCATTAATGATAATTCACTCTCATTAACAAGTACATTAAATCAAATCCCCCAAATCAGATTCTTTCTTCTTCTTCACTCAATAATACAGAGCCTCAAAATACAGTTGGGAGGAACATTTGAGGTCAACGACAGGCAGCATTGGCAGAAGGGAAAATTCTGTTTCGACAGCCGGTAACTTCTGTGTTTTGGATTTTCCCCCGAGTTCCCAAGCCAYATCCTCAGAGTCTCTCAAACCGCAGGCCCCTGAGCCCAACCTGCATGATCAGGACAGATTCACAGATGCCCTGGTTGAGTGCAGAGGACAGAAATGAAACTTCTAGGGCTTGAGTGGGTGGAGCAGGTGCTCCACCAGGCCCTGGAGGCAAGAGGACCACCTGCAGTTGTAGCCAGGTGCCATAGGCTTCTGTCCCACCCACTTCAGTGGGCCAGTGAAGACAACTCTCCCCCCAGCACTCGGTGGAGGGGGGCCCATCTCACCCCCTACAGCTTTGCCATCTAAGAAGATGTTTTGGACAGACAGAGGGTCTAGGTGGGAAAGTGACCTCCTTAGCATTGATAAATGTATATGTGTTCAATAATGCAAATCTGCAGAGTATTTAGTAGTGATGGCCAACCAGTCACCTAGCATTTAAATCCTACCACAACTATATGAAATGGATGCAGTTTGTTATTGTTATTATTGTTGTAAGAAAACTGAGGTCCAGAGAAGTTAAGTGAATTGCCTGATGACAGACAGCTTGTCAGTAAGAAAGCCAAGCTCTGAATTTATACAGCAAGATGTGACTCCGCTGTTAACCACTGCTCCACACAGTGTCTGAATTTAAGCAAAGGATAATTAAATCTGCACTGAATCTCTAAGTCTGCGCAGCCAGTCAGAACTTGTACATTGTGTCCAACAAGTAAGGAGCATGCAGTTAAACTTGGGGAGGAAGTTTTTCTTTCTCCTATAACAGACCCTTGTGTGTGAAAATCAGAACTAGCCAAAACATACCAGAGCCAAAAATACCAGTCATATAGACTGGGGATGTAGTTTAGTTTGAGGCCCTGGGTTGTCCATCCCCAACATCACAAACACAAAAACAAAAAATATATATATCATTTGTATGGTTGGGGAGGTCTTTAAGAGAAGCATCTCAGTTCCTTTCCCTTAATGAATCTCTTTGGGTACTACAGGAATCAGTATGTCAGTCACCACCTAACAGTTATTTACTGAGCACCTATGGATTGGTGTGGTCATAACTTGGCCTTGGGTTAATTTCCCTCCATGATAATTTCTGATTAAAAAGAGATTGACCACACAGTGGGCTCACCCAGCACGGGATTTGCCTAGAGCCCCTAGTATGTAAAAGGAATAGGAAATAATTAAAAATCAAAATGCACTCTAATTCAGAATTGAAAGGCATCCCCACAAAGCCTGTGTGAGAATCTTGAAAGTTGGCAAATTAATGAGACTGTAGCCTGAGGTGAAGTCTGCACTTAGCCTCTGTAATTACAAAGAACCAAGACAGACCTCTTTGGGTCCTACAGATGAGCAAAAGAAAACGATTTCCGCACATCGGTGGAGTCATAAAGAATGCAAGAGCACTAATGCACTGGAGCCATGGCCAGGGGGACAGCTGAGGCCTGGGCTGCAGCAGGAACCCTCCAAATAGACTTTTGAGTCTCTTCAAGTCTCCTGCTTCACAGTAAGCAGAGAAGAGATGGTAGGAAAGGGAAAGAACTGACGTGTCCTGAGCTCTCACAATATGCTGCCCTCTGGCCTCAACAAAGTCTTGTTAAGTTGCCCGGGCTGTCCTCAAACTTGCGATCCTCCTGTCTTAGCATCCCAAGCTGGGATCACAGGCATGCGCCCAGGGTAATTAATCAAATATTATAGTTTGGGCTGGGGATGTGGCTCAGGCGGTAGCGCGCTCGCCTGGCATGCATGCAGCCCGGGTTCGGTCCTCAGCACCACATACAAACAAAGATGTTGTGTCCGCCGAAAACTAAAAAAATAAATATTAAAATTCTCAAAAATAAAAAAAAAAAAAACAAAGCATCATACTCTTAGCTATATGTGCATCAAAATCTTATTTAAAAAAATACTATAGTTTGATAAGGTGTTTTAATATCTTCTATGGCAAACTTTGGTTTTCATTATTGTACTTTTCCAAAACATTCTCTTGGACCCTAACTATTCTGGATGAACTATATCTGAGTTTAAATACCGATAAAGATTTTTATTGAAATTTGGTTATGTTTATAGACTAATCCAAGAATAAGTTACATCTTGATAATTAGCAATTTTATCTTTGAAGAACATCGCAGGTCACTCCATGTATTTAAGTTTTATTTTATGTGACTCAGTAAAGTCTTACCTTTTTTTTTTAATGTGTTCCACATGTTTTTTTATATATGTGTCTATTCTAAGTCTCATGTTCTCATGTTATAAAATTAGGAACTTTGCATCTTTTCCTATGCTTTGGGATAATTTAATGACATAATTGTACCTGTTGCTCACTAGTAGGCATAACTCACCTACATCACCTCCTCCAAAGCTTTTTTGGGACAGCATCAGCCATTATATTTTTTAAAGCCCTCTCTCTCAGTATTCAGAATTTGTATTAAAATTTCAAAGTTCACTCAACAATTTTGAGAATCAGGCAGTAAAAAGCTAACTCATCTACTTTCTTAGAATAGAACAAAGTGCAAAATAAGGATAAAACTAAATCTCAGACATCGTATTTCTTTCACTTCTTTGGATTTCATTAGCTCTTGGCAAACATGATTTTTGCTTACATAAACTTTATTGATTCCAGTATGGTGCTCAAAAATGACTCATTCCTCTTCAGAGACCATGAATATTTCTACCCTCAATTTCTTAGGAAGGAAATTGAATTTAAAAGGTAGAATAACAAACAACAAATAACTGAATCAATTAGCTTTTCTTGAGAACACCCTGCCTCTATGCGTCCACACTGCAGTGTTGAAGAAATCATAAAAATAGCCCATGTTCTCATCAAGTTTTCCTTCTGGGGCAGAGAGCTGCCTTGTGTATGATGGTTTCTTCTCATGATGATGCTACGTAAATGCCAGTACAGCCCAGTAGTCTTTAGCCTACAGTTACTCTAACACCCGTAACAGCAGTTTCTTCTCCTTTATCCAGGATGTCTGTGTCAAGGCCTACCTAGCCCTTCGCCATCACACAAACCTGCTGATCATCCTGTTCTCCATGATGTTGATGACAGGAATGCCCCAGTTAACCAGCAAAGAAGATATCGAGTACATCCGGGATGCCCTGACAGTGGGGAAAAACGAGGAGGATGCTAAAAAGTACTTCCTTGATCAGATTGAAGTTTGCAGAGACAAAGGATGGACCGTGCAGTTTAACTGGTTCCTGCACCTTGTTCTTGGCATCAAGCAAGGAGAGAAACACTCAGCCTAATACTTTGGGCTGGAGTGAAAAACAACTCTGTGTTCTAAAGCTTTTAAATCAGCACATCAGAGTCATCAAGCTTGTATTTAAAATGCAACAGGACATGGTGAGAGCTGGCACTTAACAGAGCTCCTTTCCTAGCTGAACTCCTAACTGGAGAAAAGAAACGATGGGCATCACCGACTGCTGAAGTTATATTCAGCGCTGGGCTTCTTTGCAGGTTTGTTTCTTCTCGTTCGTCTCAGTGATGCTGGAGGACATTTCGAGTTGAGACAGACTGATGATGTCCTTACGGGGCCTGATATTTTGACTATCTTATTGAGTGCTTCTGGAAATTCTTTAGAATAGTTGATGACATCTGTTTTACTCTCAGTTTTGGTTCTCCTCCTGTGCTTTAAACTCTCCAGGAAAAAAAGATGCAACTGTTGTAACCTTTGTCTCATTCCTCAAATGATGCTTCCAAACCTCCCCTTGGTGTTGGCAGATGTCAGTGGTGTGCTAAAAGCAAGGAAAGCATGTTAGTCTTTTCAGTATCTTTTGCAATCAGATTCTTTAACACTGTGCAGCYGAGATGCACAGAAGGGAAACCCTTAACTTTGCCGGCCTGCCTCCAGGGTAATGGATATCCAAAACAGAGATGAGACCTTTTATTATCCAATACAATGAGTGTGGCCTCCAGCACAGAAACCGGAAGTCACCAATAGGGCTCTGCTGGCCTGCACCTGCTCATTCCCTCTCTCCCTTCCTCCCTGACTCCCTTTTTCTTCAGGTGAGACCTTTCTACAACCCTTTGTGAACCTGTGAGAACATCAAGGACATCTTTACCTTAGAACTCAAAACTTGGCTGAAAAAAGATTTGTATTCTAGGATTACTAGAATTATAAGTACTAGTTTATGAAGATGTTTAGTGGATTTTTTAAAAAGTATGTTATTAAGGGAGGCATTCTAGAAAATATGATTTTATTAATATGATAGTTTCCAAATGCTTTAATTTAAATTTTTGGTCTTAATATATATATATWTTTTTWAATTTTTAATAGAAGAAGATATTTGTTATTTAAAGAGTTTGGAAGAACACTACTTGTCTTACCCATTTCTTGGTTTCATAGACTTTTAGACTTTGGTACATCCTGTATTTACTAAAAACAACTAAAATATCTTCCTTAAAAAAAATTTCATCTCTTAAGTTTCTTGCCAGTTTCATCTCTTAAGTTTTTGATTAACCTCAGAGAGAGATCATTAAATATTATATTATTTATATAATATCTTTAATTACCTGTAGTTAATAAATTACATAAAAATAATTATGTTGATGGTGTCTACATTTAAGTATAATCAGATATAAATATATTTCTAATTTTTTTTATTTTCAAAATAGATACCCAATGGACTTTGATGTAGCCCATTAAAAAAAAACTCTCTTTTGTGTATTAAAAAGCCAAGGGATGCTCAACTCTGGCTGCAAATAAGAACCACCAGGGACACTTTTTAAAAATACCCTTGTCTTCCCTGGGCACAGTGGTGCGCACCTGTAATCCCAGGGAGGCTCCCTATGGGAGGCTGAGGCAGGAGGATCACAAGTTCAAAGTCAGCCTTGGCAACTTAGCAAGGTCCTAAGCAACTTAGCAAGACCCTGTCTCAAAATAAAAAATAAAAGAGTTGGAGATGTGACTCCATGATTAAGTGCCCTGGGTTCAGTTCCAAGTACCCAAAACAAAACAAAACAAACTCTTGCCTGTGCCCCACTCTCAGGTTAAAATCTAATTAGCATTAGATGAGACCCAGACATCAGTATTTTTCTAAGTACTCCAAGGTGAATCTAATACTCAGCCAGAGTAAGAAGGCCTGCATGACCTTTGGGGATATGGGTAGCTCATTGTCCACTGAGCTTTCTCCTTGCTCCTAGGTATCTACAAAGAACTCTTCTTCTTTGTCAAATCATCCTTTGTGTATACTTGCATGTGTGTGTAGTAAGGGTTACTGAAGATTGAACCCAGGAACACTCTACTACTGAGCTACAATCAGTCCCATTTAAAAAAAAATTTATTTATTTTTTTAAATTTTGAGACGAGGTCTCACTTAGTTGCCAACACTGGCCTGGAATCTCCTGCCTCAGCCCCTGCAGTCTCTGGGCCTACAGGTATGCACTACCACGCCCAGCACAACTCATCCTTTCAAAATCACTCTCTAACCCCCTGTACAGAGAACCATGTGCTGTACTGAATTTAATTTCTCTTCATAAATGGAAGCTAAACATCTCACGGCATCTCTAAACCACAATACCCCACCATCCTTTTGGAGAAGAACCAGAAAAAAGGTTCTTCCTGATTTAAAACAGGCAGCTTTGTCTGTGTTTCTAAAGAACAGCCATGTTCAGGCCTTGTACAAATGCTGCTTTTCATTTCAATTGCTGAAATAATCACCTTGATGATAAAGGAGAGAGGAATGGATTTATATTTAGCCTATTGGCACATATGCATACATACTTGCTCTTCAAATGAACCAATTATTTCATGAAGCTGATACACAGGTATGTGCGTGCATGGTGCACCTGTATATACATTGAGCTTTATTCTTTCATATTCCAATGAGAGTTTAATTCAACTCTACCGGCTTGCAGATAAACAAAAATAAAAAATCGTCTTTGTATGTTTCCTTCCTTTACTGTTTGCAGGGAATTGCATGACTAAGAATTTCTACACTTTTGAAAAGTTTCTAGAACTGGAGTCATCCTGCTACTGGGGCACTATCCACAACTCTCTGTTCAGTGCCAAATTAAAAGCCAGATCACAAGTAAAATGAATTCAGGCCAAAGCAACTTTTTTTTGTGTGTGTCTAAGACTGGCAACATCATTTGCATATCCCAGTGTAAATGAAAACATGGGGCCCATTGTTTAAAAATGATTAAGAAACTGGAGATGGCAACAGCAGCACATCAAACCAAGTGCCCTTCTGAGTGGGAGGAACTGGGCATCTAGGTCACACACAACTGAGTAATGCCTTTGGTGTGTATCTGAATAATGGCCCAGTTTTGCACACCTAGGCCATGTCTGCATGAGTGCAGAAAAAATGCTCAGATCAGAATATTGCTTCTGTTGGAATTGAAATACCTCATCTTTCTTGATGTACACTAGGACCTAAAACATTGCTCTTGTAATAGAACTATGGTCACAGAAAATAAAGAAAAGCAAAGTAGATGTTTTAGACACAGCCCATAGGAATGCATTGACTACTCTTACCTTTGGAGAAAGTAGGAGGAAGACATTATAGATAACTAGAGAATACTCTTGACTTCCAAAAAAATTAACTATAGTAATTATATGTATATAACTATTTTTTAAACAATAATTTTTTTTTTTGTTTTGGTACTGGGAATTTAACCCAGGGACATTTTACCACTGAGATACATTCTCAGCCTTTTCAATTTTTTATTTTGAGACAGGGTCTCACTTAGTTGCTTAGGGCCTTGCTAAATTGCTGAGTCTGGCCTCAAACTTACACTCCTCCTGTCTCAGCCTCCTGAGCCTCTGGGATTATAGGTGTGTGCCACTGTGCCCAGCTTAAATAATATATATATATTTTTTAGAAAAGTTTAAATGCGGAAATTTTGTACAATAGTTTGGAAGTGTTTGCTATCAATGGAAATTAATTAGTTTGTTAAATAAGTTCAAAAAACTTAGTTTCTGTAGCCATTTCTTATCTTTGGTATGCTGGGCTCTGCTTTCCCTGATTATGTAATAAATTGGCAATTACATTTAACACTATGAAGAAAATAAAAAAGTTGGGATTTCTTAAAGGTTCTGTTGGCTTATTTTCATTTTCATCCAGCTCAATAATTCTGATAAATAAATTTGATTTTAGAGAAGGCTTATCTGCATTTTCTCAAAGACTCATTTTAGGACAGGTTCGAGGGAAACCATAAACACATATCTTGGCTAAAGTGCCCACTCAGAAAGCTGAGACCATCTCTTCTGTACAGTCTAGGTAACCTCACTTGCAAATAGTGTAATTATAAATATTGACTTATTTTTTAAAATATTTTTTAGTTGTAGATGGACATAATGCCTTTTTTATTATTATTTTTATGTAGTGCTAAGGATTAAACCCAGTGCCTCACACACGCCAGGCAAGCGCTCTACCACTGAGCCACAACCCTATCCCCTACAAATGTTAATTTAAATAAAAGAGAATTCGATATATTCTATATCTTTTCATATTGAAAAGACCAGATATTCCTGAAACTAAAATTCTTTCTTTTAAGAAACCATAATTGATTGCCCACTATCTTCTAGACACTGTACAAAGTACTGGGAATTAGAATATGGAACAAGACTGACCCAGTCCTGTCCTTCCATGTTTATAAGTGCAGGTGATAGCAGACACTTTGTAATAGGTAGGTGTTGGTTATAGGGTTAGCTGTGTCCCTCAGAAAGATACATTGAAGTCTTAACTCCAATATCTGTGAATGTATTCTTACCTGGAAATAGGTCCTACACACAGGATCGAGTTAAGTTGACATCTTTAGTGTGGGCCCTAATCCAATGTGACCGGTATCCTTATAAGCAGAGAAGTGACATACAAGATAAGCACCCACGTGGTGAAGGTAGAAATTGCATTGATGCATTTACCAGCCAAAGAACACCTGGAGGCACTAGTAACCAGAGGAGGCAAGGAAGGATCTTCCCTTAAAAGTCTCCAAAGAAAGGGCTGGGGTTGAGGCTCAGTGTTAGAGTGCTTGCCTAGCACATGTGAGGCACTGGTTTGATTCTCAGCACCACATATAAACAAATAAATAAGTAAAGGTCCATCGATAACTAATAAAAATATTTTTTTAAAAGTTCCAAAGAAGTTTTGATTTTAGACTTATAGCTTCCAGAACTGTGAAAGATGTCTTATTTTTTAAGACATCCACTTGGTGATTCTTTGTTACAGCATGTCTGGGGAACTAATACAATAACTAAAAGTTTTGTGGTAGTTTTCCTTTTTGGGGGGAGGGAGACTGAGGAGAGAGATCAGAGTTTAAATATTAACTCATGTTAGATATTAGCCCAAAAGATCATGTGTGGGACAATGCAAAAAAGTTTAGAGGTAAAATGGTTGGGTTATGAGAGTTTTAACCTAATCGGTGTATTAATCCTGATTGGGATTAACTGGGTGGTAACTGTAGGAAGGCAGGTGTGACTGGAGGAGGTGGATCCCTGGGGGTGTGACGTTAGGGCATGTATCTTTCCTYGTTGATTGTAACTCTCTCTCTGCTTCCTGTTGCCTATGTATGGAGTCATTTCCTCCTGCATGCCCTTCTGCCTTATCTCAGGTTCTGAGCAATGAGCAATCGAGTCAGCATCCATGGACTGAGATGCCGGTAACCATGAGCGACAAATAAACTCCTTCTTCTCTAAAATTGTTCCTGTCAGGTCTTTTGGTCACAGCA